GTGTATAAAGTTACTTTTGTCATGTTAAGATTTTGAAAAATCTCCCAAAGTGTCATAAAAACCTGTGCTGACGTCTTTTGAATATTATAGTGAACAATAAAACCTTTCATGTGACACAGTCTGGTGTCAATTATACATAAATAACAGCTGATAATCAGCAGCATGCTTTTAAATTAAGACACCACAGAACAGTCTCAAAGTGATGTTTTCTGTGAAGTTAAGTTCTAAAATAAATTTTAGATAACACTAAAACAAACAAATACATACCTGAATGCCGCCGTCCATTATCTCATCACACTGTGTAAATCATTGATAGGTATCTACGGAGCCTGGCAGTGTTCTTAAAGAGGACAAACTGCATTTCCTGGCCAGGTTTTAGCCGCGCTGACTAACCTCTTGAGTTGTTGTTAAAAATAAGAGGCTTTTGCACAAAGTACAAGAAGAAAAGAAGAAGAAAATAAAGATGAGAACTCTGAATGGAGACCCACTTTAAAAATAATGCATGAAATAATATAAAACCAATATAAATGTCACAGGGTGACGTAAGTGTTGCATGTAGCCCATCCTTTAAAATAAACAGACTATCTGTAAATAATTAACAGGCTCACAATATTCAATTGCTCTGTTTATCACCAGAGTTTCATGCACTGAATTTAGTTTTTATTGTAAGTAATGTCTCACAATTTTCCTAATGAAAACACTCAAATAGCACAGAATTCACATAGAATCTTTTTGTTTCTATGTCGAGTCATATTTAAGTGAAGAAGTGAACTTTGACAGTGTTGCCAGGTAACAGATTGGTGTCATAAAAGAATTCATGTGCAAACCTCAAGTGAAGCAATGACCTTGTGCAAACTATCATTATGAGCACTGCTGGGCAAAATGTTATTTGTCTTTTAATAGTTTGCAGGAACTTGTTAGATTATACAGCACTTGTATTTTACTTCTATTTTCAGTAGTTTCCATTCCAGGTGATTTTCCCTGTAATCATTTGACATTCAAAGTAAATACATGATAAATGATTCACTAATAATAAATGACGATAACGTAGTATATTACATGTTAAGGTCATGTAATCACAGCTGAGGAAAGTTCACTCTCCCCCAAGTTTGTTAGAGCAATTCATAACATACCAAAAATGAAAAATTTTTGGTATGTTATGTGCAAATTATAATATTAATATTATATTAATATAATATTAATTA